ATTCGGTGGAGACTTGGCTCGATTCGCTGGCCAAATCTTCAAATCTGAATCGAATTAAGGGGCCAATTTAAAGGTCCAAATTGATTCAGAGCTCTCCAAATCTTTGGAAAAGATGTGGAGAGCTTTGACGATTTGGGTAGTCGCTGTCCGCTGCAGCAGACAGCTGCAGCCAACTCCCAACTGGTAAGTAGGGGGCAGGGGCTGGGGGAGGGGACAATGGGGCAACCCCTGCCAGCCCTCCGCACTCCCCTAGCCCCCACCTTCTCCCCCATGGCTGCCCCTGCCTACCCCAGCTCCTGGTACTTTAAAAAAAAAGCCTGTTCATCATGTGCTTCTGGGCAGGGGGGTGATCCCTGCTGGCTCCCACTGCCCCATGCTGCATGGGGGGCTCTCCACGAGCCCCCTGACCCTCCCTCACTCCCCCTGCACCTCCACAGGTGCCCTGCCCGGGCCAGCTCTGGCCCTTTAAGAAAAAAATAAGAGGAGAAAAGCCTTAGACTCACCACTCCTGTGGCAGCCTTTGGGCTTCAGGGGCTCATGCAGAGCCCCCCATGGGGTGGGGGGCAACGGGAATCGCCCCCCGCTGGCAGAAGTCGTGAGTCCAGAGTTTTTTCAGCCTTCTTTTTACCCTTAAAGGGCCGGAGCTGGCCCAGGTAGGGCATCCATGGCGGGGGTTGGGGGAGCACAGGGGGTTTAGGGGTCTTGTGCAGAGCCCTCCATGCAGTGTGGGGCAGTAGGGGGCAGGAGGGATGGCCTCCCTGCCCAGCAGCATCTGGTGAGCTGGAGCTTTTTGTTAACAAGTGCTGGGAGCTGGGGCAGGCGGGGCTGCCATTGCTAGGCTGGGAGAAGGGCGGCGGATGGACCTGACCTGGCTGATTCAGAGATTAGATTTGGCAGCAGCCAAATCTCCAAATCAGATTCAGCCAAATTGAATTGGGACAGTGATTCGAATCACCAAATCGAATCATTGTCCCTCAAATCGGCCAAATTCGAATCTGAAATGAATACTAGCTGCTTCGCACAGACCTACCAGGGAGCTTAAGGTGAGGCAGGGCACCTGATGCAGTGGGGAGCTGGGGAACAGGACCACTTAGGGGCATGATGGCGTGCTGGAAGAGGAAGGGGGAGGGGGCATGCAGTACCACCCCCGGCCACTTAGAAATAGGACAGCTGTGTGTTGAGTTAGATCATTGACTAGATTCAAGGTCTCTGCTATTTTTCATAGTCTGTTGTCATCATCAGGATCCTACCATTAGTAATTATTGCTCTGGTCCTGCAAATGATTATTCATAACTGTACTTGCATGTGTAGCTGTACAGGACTATGCACGAGTATAGAACACGTGCAAGTACTGGACAGATTGGGGTCTTTACTGGCAGCATTTAGCAAGAAAAATAATTTACCAGACGGATCCAAACATCAATCTGTTGTCTTTTCTCTGTTATTCCCTTTTCAAATCTAATTAGCAGTTTTATAAAGTCTGAAGTGTTAAATGAAATTGTGAAATTTGGAACTCAGGTAGGTTTGCAATATTTTAGGTATGTATTATATAGTTACTGCTGATTTTATTAAAAAAGGTAACACAATATTTTTCTCTGTGATATTTAAACTAATAGTGTGAGAGCAAAAAAAAAATATATATATTTTTTTTTTGTGCTCATCATGAGCTTCTGGCCAAGAGGAACAATAGCTTTTGATGCTTCAGTGTCCTGCTGCGCAGGTCAGGCTTTAGATCAGTGGAGCTGAGACTAAGTTTAGGTTGAATCGTATAGTTTAAAAAATATATATGTTTTTCTTTTTTAGTATCCAACCCTCTTGATCCCTTTCTTTGATCTAACCCAGTGGTCCTCAACATTTTAGGCTCCCCTCGAAAAACTCCAGCTTTTAGTTTTCACTTGTTTTTTGGCTACGTAAAAATGAGTTCTTCAGTTGCAAAGGACTCAGAAAGACCACAACAGAGCAGAATGCTTTTAACACTACGGATTCCTATTTGGCACCTCTGGGTTTATCTTGTGAACCACGTTGGCACACCTAACAGTGCCAATATTGCCTGACAGGATCTCAATGCAGCCCAGAGTGCTGCAACCCTCTGGTTGAGAATCACTTGTGTACATGGCTAGAAGGAATCAGGCATCCTTCACTTATTTTCAAAACAGTAACAAACATGAGCCTAAGTGGTTCCTTTGGAACCTGGACATAGGCAGTGGTCTTTGCTTTCCAAATGAATTCAGTCTATGTGCCCTCCCACCTTTCCATTCCAGCTACCAACTAGATGTTGTTTAAGGACATTAAAAAAAAATCTTCTTAAATTAAATGAGTTTCCCATTACCTGCCACTATTCATTATACTTGGAGTAAAATCACTCCACCAAGACATTAAAAATGAGTCACAGCAGCCACCCAGCTGGGAATGTTGCCATTAGGCAGTCATGCTTTGAAGCCAATGTCTCTGCAAGGATAGAATAGCCCCTACTGATGCTGCAGCTTCTGTGTGCAGAAATCACTGGCAGAATTGTGCCGTTTGTAGATTGCTAAGCAGCAGCAGCACCTTTTGAAGTAACCACAGTTAGGAATTTTGTTTTAAAACTGAACAGCTTGTGGAAGAGAGAAGACTGCATCTCCAGACTTGGATTTGGATCAGGTTTTTAACCATTGTGGAACACCCTGTGGGGTCTTCAGGTTTTACAGAAAACTTGACTGGGCAACTGAAAGCAGCCTTCAAACCCTGTGCCTGCTTGTGGGCTGTGTTTTTTGCCTGTTTCTAAGATTAGTTGAGAACAGAGTTAAAGAGAACAGAATCTGTGTGGAGTCAACTGCACACATGAAACACAGCCAGTTTTTACACTGGCTGTTTTCTATCTTTCCCATGAAAAACAGCATGGGGGTGGAAGGGGAGGACACAAACACATTTCCCAATTGTTTTTCCTATGGGGAAGTTTGTAGCATAAAGGGAGCCTTTGTAACTTTATCTTTTAATTTACTGCATCTCTGTGGTAGAAAAAAGTGCCTTCAAAAATCACAGAGCACTTGTTTCTGCAGATACGCACCCACTTTACTTGGGGACTGATGAGAAAGGCATTGCATTGCAATTCCATTTTTAATACCAGTGCTAAGAGTAAATTAGCTCCTCAAAGTAGATTTTTTTTTAGAGTCATGGCTCAAGTCCCATCTCTAAATAATAGAGGTTTGGTCTCATCCCTTGAGCAAACTAGGTATGAATGTACCTGCTTGTCCTCTCAGTTCACATCTTGTTCTACTCCTATTGAGGAAGGTAGCCAGTCAAGTAGGTCTCCCTCTTGCCTTCTCCCATCATGCCTCATCATTTCTTTCAATTACCAGTTCACAGACATTGCTTGTTTGAAGTTTTCTTCTGATTGGCTATGAGCACTGTTCCCCTGCTTGGTACTCACAGGAATTAAGTCTGTCACACTCATTTAATCCAGGGGTAAAAACACATCTTTCCAAAGTCCATTCTTTACCAGTCCTGTAAGAAACTCTGGCTTGGAACTTTATTGTGTTGTCTGTTCTCATGGGTACCATCTGCTGAGAATAATCACCTGCTTGGAGATATCACAGCAGTAATTGCAGAGCTTAGAAGTGGAAGAGACTTGCTAGACCATTAAATCCATCCTCCTGCAAGGGTGGAGAACATCCCTGACTGGTGATGAAATTCATGCTCATCTTCTGATCTGAGTCAAAGGGCTCTCTTTAAAAGGAACAGACATTTTTTGATAAAATCAGTGTAGCAAACCTATTACATCTGAGAAGAGTGCACATACAGAGATAGCTCTCCATGTTGTCTTCTGCCCAGGGCTTCAGAGAGCAAAGGCGATTGTAGCTTTGCACTGCCTGGATTCTCAAGGCTGCTAGGAGCTTGATTCTGACTTGGGCTGCCTAGGAATGGCTACCAAGGGATCATTCTACTATGTAGTAATCTGTGCAGGGAAGAAAGGCACTGGCCACAGTTCTCGTTCCCTTCATCTGAGAGTAGCATGGGATTTATTCTGTTGCAGCTGCAATCCTGGCTGCTTAAGCTTTTGTCTACACCTACTTCCTCTGCTACCAGAACTTCTGGAGGCAGGCAGCGGCCACTGCCACCAACCCATGTGAGCATGTGCATCTCCATGTGCTCCTGTAGCAGCTCTGTTCAGCTCCTGCAGCAGCTGTGGACCTTGGGAAGGCACCCGCTGCTGAAGGGACCATGCCAGTTCACAGAAAGGTACACCAAAAAATCTACATGCACCTTCTGCCTGCTGTTGGATGGCAGCAGAAGCCCAACTCTGCTTGGCAGTGGTAATTTAACTGCACCTGCAGCTCTGCCTGCTCAGAGGAGCTTTGATTCATAGATGCATACCGCTGTCTGGTTCTCAATTGCTCTCCCTTAGACCAGCGTAAATTCCACTGAAGCCAACAGGGTCTTTCAGTGTAAAACTAATTTGAGTTGAGAATCAGGACAAGCTAACGCAAATGTAATCATTTTAAATTTCCGTCCACTATCAGGAAACCTGGCATAGGCACTAACTGGTTTTTGCCAGTGGGCGCTTTTTTGTTGTTGTTTTAATTCCCATGTGAGCCCCACACATGCCCGAAAGAGGCAGTGTGTTACATCAACCTGGCTCACCTAACGTGGCTTGTGGGTGTTGAGCACCCGCTATTATTTTTTTTTTTTTTTTTTTGTGGGTGCTTGAGCCCTAGAGCACCCATAGAGTCAATGCCAATGGATCCAGGAGAAAACACAATTACTAATGCAAGTCTAATTTAAACCAAAGCATCAGAGTTGAGGATATTATCTCCTCCCTCAGTGCTCTATAGGTACCCACCAGCATTGCTTTTTGAAGGATTTGTGTTTTTTACAGTACATCCAACTTATGTGGTGCTATTGCAATACTTCCATCGTGAGACACCAGTGCACCACAAATTATTATCATCATTATTATTACCACCGCACCTATTTGAAATATCTAGTCTTAACATGGGGTTAAATCCTTCCAGGTTTCAGTAATTTTGTAATGAAGAACATATTACAGTAGTGAGTTAAATAAGTGGCTCAGCATTAGTTTAGTTAATTTCCTCTAGAAATCACAAATTCCACATTCCTTAGAAAATTAAGGATTGCTTTCTTGTAATTATGTCTTAACTGAGGAGGCATGAAAGTCTGTCATATGCCCTGCCTGCCCCTGAAAGAACCCCATTTACTCTGCATTTTTATTGTTGCAATCTTCCCAGACAGTGCACAGATGGAATTTCTCATCTGACAAATGAAACAGATAACATTTATTGAGCAAAACTTAGATTGCCCGGGTTCATTTGCTATTTCATGCAGTCAGTGCCTCTCCTGTAGTTAGCAATATGAATACTCTCCAGAGAGCAACTCTGGGGAAAGCTCATTTTTTAGGTGGAGTAGGTGACAGAAAATATGATTTAGTAATATCATGTAAATACTCAGGATCATTGTGAAATAAGCAAACATTTAAATTTAAATTTTTAAGGGTGCTATGGAACATTGCACAAGCAAGTGTCATTTTCTTGGATTATTAGTTAACTAACTCTGGTAAATCTTGACAAAATATAAGCAATCCCTCTTGTTTAATAGAGCTTAGCTGCTCCTTTTTGCTAGCTATGAAATGCTCAAAGCAGCTTTCAGTTCAAAGCCCAGAACTGACAGAGGTGTTGAACTCTGGAGAGATTTTGATTATCCAGGGTTTTATTCTAACTACATTCTTCTTTACTTGTATGCTCCATAATCCTGCCTCACACTGTAGAAAAAGTTAAGTCTCATAGGTGACCAGCAGTCTTAGGAGGAGCGTCACAAGCAGAGGAAATACTGTGGATAAGACAGTGAGTACTTACTCAATTATTCTTTTTCTTATGGACTTGAAATGTATTGCAGAGGAGGAGGGGAGTGGATGACTTGCTATTTCTTGCCAAATAGGAAATTGAGTCTGGGTGAAATAATAATATAAAATAAATTTTTAAGAGATGGATATTATGGAGTTTGTAAGCCAATGCTGTAGTACGCTTCACTATCTCACTGCCTTTTACTATATGAAATAATATATTAAAAATGTTTGATTTGGAGCTGAAAGATGCTCAAAGTGGGATTAGTATTTACGTGCACAACAGATGTCTAATATATTCCACGTATTATGAGCTGTATATTTCTCACAGTCAGTGGACCTATCCTTCAGGGCAGGGATTGCCTCTTTCTCTATGTCCTGTACTGCACTGAATACATAATAAAGAATAATACCTAAAGTTTTATGAAAAGTTTAATGATATAAAGAACCTAACAAATATCACTAAGACCCCCAAAGCACTGCTGCGATACAAATGCATAATATAGAGTAATAATGAAATCTGTTCCTAACCATTTAAAATACATATTAAAATGCTCTACCATTTAAAAGTCTTGTGATGTTTAATACCAAAATAATGCAACACCTCTGGCTTTCCACTGAATCCCTCATGAAAAGAGCGCAGAAGTATTTCTCCACGTGCAAAACTTTGCACATGCACAAAATGTTGCCCTTGTTGGGGCATCCTGGAAGGTTATTCAAATGGGAATTCACAGATGTCCCCTGAATCCTTGTAGCCAGAACCCTAACCTTCTCAGAGACTTCTGTCTCTCTTTTTCTAAACATATTAATTTGCAAAACAGAAGTAACAAAAGACCCGTTGACAAAGAGAGTCCAAACCCATGCTGGAGCTGAATATAAGCCCAATTAGAGCTCAGAAAGTCTATAACAATGTTAAGGGTAAATGCAGCTTGTCAATGCTGCTGCTGCTGCAATCTGACAGAGACACGAGTTTGTGAAAAACGATACAAGTACCTTTTGAATTCTTCCATCAATATCCAAATAAATACACTTGGGCCGGTAAGTTGAGGAGCCAGATCCCATCTTGCTAGAGTTGGACTTTTACTGGACTTTCTGAATGTCAAATATAGCAGGAAAAAGGGCCAGCCAACCAAAGATGAGCTACCAGTGCCTGATACTTAAGTGTCTTTGCTCTTCTATATACCACATCCTCATGCTATGAAGGTCCCTCCTCTAACATGCATGCATTTTGCTGTGTCTGTGTCTCTGTACCACCTCCTGTTAATTTTTCTTTCCTCTGGCTCCACTGCCTTGGACAAGGGAAAGACAGGCTCCAGGTCCGATCTCCAAGTGCCCTCATGATTCCCATAGCAACCTCCTTCTGGCTTCAGAGCTGGAAGGCTTTGGGCAATCAATCTGTAACACTGCTCTGTTGAGTGGGGTTGATTAGCTGCTTTCTGCACATAAGACAAAGCACCACATATATCACTGGGAAAATCCTCTCTATTAGACTGCAGTCAATGTCACTCCTCTTTTTTTTCTTTCCTTTGCTGAAATGGGGGCAGGACCATCAATTGAAACCTAGCTTTTTGGTAATCTTTCTGCATGATTTTAAGTAGTGAGACAGGCTCACAGCTGCACTGGCTGCTGAAACAATCTTCCTAGAAACGCATTGTAGCCTGTGTTGAGTCTACCTCCCTCAATTTAGGCAATTTCATTGACATAACCCTCCTGTTATCACTGTATAGAAAGCAAGAGAAAGGGGACAAGAAGCTGCAATAGTAACATATAGATCCACATAGAAAACACAGAGCATGCCTGCTGCTGGTGCTCAGTGTCCTAAATGCCACCCCCTCCCTAGAAATAATTCTGTACTTAAGGAAATCTGAAGTGCTGGGGGGCATGGGTATTATATTATTGAGTGTGTGCTCTAAAAATGGGAAGGATTGCTACATTTGCTATTTGATTCAAAGTGAATACCACATGCCAACTGCTGAACATCTATATTGTTTTGCATTGCTTGTGCCTGTAGGAAACCAGAGCTCTGGATGGTAATGGGAAGAGAGTTGTACAAGCAGCATTTCCTTGGACTTCACAGAGAAGACCACATCAGAAAGGCTGCAAGCATGTTGTGCTGCTGGAAACAGCTCATTCGGCCACCATTATTTCTAAGGGCTTCCTGCAGCTTGTACTGCTTCTGCAGTTGAATGAGGGATAAACGGTCTCTCATGGTCTCCTTTGTGCAGTAGCTTGTGGAAGATATGAAGCAGTGGATGTACTGAGGGCCTGTGTCCACCTCCCGTACTCACATGGACGCCTTGTTATGTGTGCTGACGCTAAATGGGATTTTGCACATACTCAATAGGAGTACAAGTAGCAGAAACAGCACCCCCTGGTTACAGTCACAAGAGCAACTTCTGTCCGGCAATACCTAACTTGACGTGCTCAGTAGTACGGAAGTGGAAAGGGATCTTGGAGTCCTAATGGACTCCAAGGTGAACATGAGTCATCAGCGTGAGGAAGTCATCAGAAAAACTAACTGCACTTGATCATGCATCAGCAGATGCATGACAAACAGAACCAAGGAGGTGATACTGGTCACTATCGGGCACTGGTCAGACCGCAGTTAGAATACTGCATCCAGTTTTGGGCGCCACACTTTAAGAGGGATGTGGATAACCTGGAGAGGGTACAGAGAAGGGCCACTCGTATGGTTAAGGGCTTGCAGGCCAAGCCCTACGAGGAGAGACTAAGGCACCTGGATCTCTTCAGCCTCCACAAGAGAAGGTTGAGAGGTGACCTTGTGGCTGCCTATAAATTCATCATGGGGGCACAGAAGGGAATTGGTGAGGCTCTACTCACCAAGGTGCCCCTGGGGGTCACAAGAAATAATGGCCATAAGCTAGCAGAGAGCAGATTTAGATTGGACATTAGGAGGAACTTCTTCACAGTTAGAGTGGCCAAGGTCTGGAATGGGCTCCCAAGGGAGGTGGTGCTCTCCCCTACCCTGGGGGTTTTCAAGAGGAGGTTGGATGGGCATCTGGCTGGAGTCATCTGAACCCAGCACTATTTCCTGTCTATGCAGGGGGTCGGACTCAATGATCTATTGAGGTCCCTTCTGACCCTAACATCTATGAATTCACGGTGCTTTTCCACCTAATGAGATTCATATCCCTGAGTGGCCTTTGCTTTTGCCAACAAGATGAGTGGATAGCTGCTTAAATGAGTCAGTCAGGAAGTCTGTGGAATGGAGCAGGACGTACACCTTACATGGTTGATGACTGTATGTAAATTTACAAACAATCCATAAAAAAACAGAGTAAAAACATCTGTCTGTCCATAAAAAAAACTGAGAAACAGTGAGCTCGTGTAAAGATCTGTCATTACCATCAGAATGAGGCTAGATTCAAATGTCAGCAGACAAATTGATCGGAGGAGCACCACCTGGTATCTAAATGGGAATGCAGCTCCGCCCTTTGCAGGGAACTGTCTGTCAGCCCCTTCCCCACTCCTATCCCAGCCATATGCTGCTTCTGCATGTCTCAGCTGCCACCTGCCTGTAATGGCTGCTCAGTGCTTACCTCAAAGGTATTCAGGGTTGTGCAGCCATGGGCCAAGCAGGACAAAGCTGTTGGGCTAGGATGGAGCTGAAAGGTTAGGGTGGTGGGGAGAGGTGGCAGGCTGGGGTTATGTTTGGTGTAGGCGGGGGGGGGTATAGGGTAGTGTTGAAGTTATCAGAGTGAATAAGGGGGGACTGTGGGGAGCATGGTGTAAAACGATTGCTGCAGTTAAGCAGGGTTGCCAAACCAAAAACATATTTTTACTGACAATCTGCAAACTTTTTACTGATAGCCAAAGTTTTTTTTTATTGGGATTGGTGTTAAACCCCTAAATTTGAACCCAGCCTTTCTAAGTGCTATCCAGGGCCTAGCAGCAGTGTTACATCTATATTAGGTAAAACATACTTCGGTAAAAACATATCAGTTGAAAAATTTGGTTGTCTGTAAAAAGCTTGTGCATTACCAGTAAAAAAAAAAAAAAAAAAAAAAAAAAAAAATTTTG